TTATTGTCAACTTAATCTTCTTCACTTCTTTCAACTCTCTCACTTCCTGTAACCAGCTTAAGGTGGTTGGATGTCCACAAGACACGCTGCTTTCACAACAATTTTTCTTTATTTATTACCTAATTATTAACTTATCACGTTTCTTTATAAATAATAATTTTTTTATGTTGAATTTTTTTTCTTTAACTCAGATTATTTATATGATTTAACTACTCCTTACATTGTCTTTGTATTTTGTCAATTAGATGGCTTTCAAGTGTTAACGCAAACCATGTTTTTTCTCAACCACCTTACATTTCCATCAGTTTATAGGAGATAGAAAAAATGAGAATTGATGAATTCAAAATCAAAATTACAGGACTATAATTATGATCTGAGATTGAAATTGTATCAGAAATTAATATTTTTAGCATTAGTATTAACTATGGAGGAGAGGAAGAAGTAGAAGAACAATGAAAACTGTTAAAATGGATCTTATAACAAAGATTTGACATTTAAATAAGCATTGATGCGTATGTGGCTCCATGGTTAGTTGGTTCGTGTTGTATTTGTACGTTAATGGTACACATCCATGTCAAATTAAAGTGCAATTATTGTTACTTTTTTCAATATCAAGGGAGAGATAGACGTTTGAAATTTTGGTCAGATTTATTAAACAAGCTTGAAATAAGAAAATAAGATTTTTATTTTAATTAGTAGAAACTTCCTTTTATTAGGATTTCTAATTTTTTAAAATATTCATGTATAAGTTAAATTTATTTTATAAAACAATCTTTCTTTTTAAGAAATATTTATGAAAAAAAAAAAATTAAATTGGCTTGGTGTATTTGGCAGGGTTGGCTCAAGCCACCACTTTTGCGGCGATTTTAAGAATTTAATTATAATGTGCAATTAAGTGTTTGTAATTTTTTATTTTGACATTAAACCTCCCCCAAAATTTTTCATTAGGCCTCAATATTCTTAAACACAACCCTGATGACTGGATATCAAATGAACCTGAAGATAAATATTGCACAACGTGGAATGGATCGTAAATTTGCTTTTGCTCAACAAATTGGCTCTTAGATGAGTACACTGTAATTATAGACAATTAGTTTGGTTGACATATCTGCCACTTCATTCCCCTTATTTTTCGTAAGTGTAAATGATAAACAAGAAAGATAACTAAAACTGGTAAGAACTTTGAGTCTGAAACATACAACAAAAGTTAATCTAAAAACATATTTACTTGTTAAACATATTAAGATAGAAATTCTCGTATACGGACAGGCCTTTTGACTGCATTAGTAAAGCCCTGCAAAGAAATGATTAAGTCAAAATAAGCATTCTGTTTTCTTGCAAGTTAAAATAAAGGACAGTATATTTTTGGTAAAAATGCATGAATAGATATCAAAATAACTGTTTAAAAACAGGGGACCAATTGCTAGACTCGTCCTATTTTTAGGCAAACTTATCATTGCACCAAAAGTAGAAGTAGTAAAATTCGTATCAGTTACTAACAAGTTTAACATAGTGCTCTAATCAGTGTTTTAGAATTTGTTGGATCGGACTATTTCAAAACAACCAGACTCCACTCTGATCCAGGGCAAACCTTAAAACCGCTCAAAATCAGCAGAGAATGAGACAAGTTTTGAAATAATTGGTTTGTTTATCTGCAATACTAAATTAGGTCAAACGCGAGAGTGAAGCACATTCTTTACCATAAAATTTAAACACTAAACTATCTTAAAAAGGGAAAAGCATAACAAACAAACAAGGTTGGTTGTGAATGTGAATACAATTCTATTTGGAAATTTGCCATATATCTTAGGGAGAGTATAATAGAACACCAATTGATAAAGTAATAAGAATGCAGCCAATACACTTGCTGTCCAGAGACAAAAGTCTCCTAAGACAATATTCTCTGTCCTCAAAATGCAAGCAACTTGACTATTTATAATTACAAAACCTTCTACAAAGTATATACTCCTCCTCGTGACTACTCCTTATGCATGATCCCTATCATGCAGTTTCTAATGCAGAACCACTCTCAAATAGATTTGCTACGAGATATATACTCCTAAGTCCTAATATAAATAATTGTCAGCGATTATTTTCTATGCATAACTTCCATCCTGCAATTTCTACCATAGAACATTTTTCTAATATATTTACTATTACAAAACCCGTTATTTTCTATCACGTATTCTCCTAAAAATTAAATACCCCCAATCCATTAATGGGACCAAATTGGATCTTAGATCCAATCATTACTTCCTGCTGAAAATTCACCCTTGTCCCCATATCCCAGGTGAATCTAACTCCAAATCCAAAGAGATACTAGAGTTTAGTTGGCAAAGTCATCTACTCCCCTATCACTACACCTAACATTTCTTTTGCAGATGGGGAAGTTAGTTTATGCAAACTGATCAAAATAATCACTGAAATGCAATCAGATATATTAAAAGGTTCCAGGTCAGGGATTGTGTATTATGTTCAAGGAGATACTTAGGTAATTGGATATTATGATGCAAAATGGGCAGGATCCCTTACTAATTAGCACTGTACTACAGGGTACTATGAAACCGTTGGATGAGTTGTTAGTTCTATGAAACCAAGAAACAAAATGTAGTTGTTTGATCCAATGCTGAAGCAACATGGCCTTGACTACTTGTGAATTTGTGGGGATCAAACAACTTCAAGAGTTAAAGTTTTTCAAAGTTCAGACAATGAGGCATAATTGTGATGGCTAAGCAGCCTTTACATAGCCTCTAACCCAGTGTTTCATGCATGATGGCTAAACCTTTCCTTTTATCCCTCTCTTGTACTCTTTTGCTACTGAGTGCAGTACTTAATCAAGCATTTTCAGTCATTTAAATTTTCAAGTGTTTTCATTCGAATATACTCCTAATAATTAATGCCACTACTCCATTATTGGAACTAACTTGGATCTTACTTCCTGTTCAGATTTGATGAAGATTTGCAGAGATTTTATTCATTATCATTATTATTATTCTTGCATTATTACCATTTTTATCTTTACATTAAATGTCGGATTGTGTCATCCCTATAATCAAGGGATTCTCTCCTTCTGTATTGATTTCTGATTTGTGTAAATAAAGGGCCTGAGGACTATTTCTCCTCAAGCTTTTCAGCAACTCAGTCTTGTTCCACCGGAGCATATGATTTTCCACATAGCATATGTTCCATGTGTGCCATATTTCCAGATTGTAATGATCAACAAGAAAATCATGCAAGAACTAGTACAATTTACTTTCACCATCACTACCAACGACAATAATTAACGTATCAACGAATCAACTATTGCTACTAACTTAAATCATTGCTCCGTTATGCTTAAAAGTAGTGAAACTACATGCAATGATTTTGCAAATATGTTGCTCTTAACATATCCAAAGCCCTAGGATGAATGCCTTTAAGTTCACAACAACGTAATTATTAATTAAATGCAATCACATTTTATTTTTCTGTCAAGTGCCACCTAAATCCATTTTCATTCACTACTAAAGAAATAGTGTGTACCTCGTTAAATTTAAATAGTAAAGGGTATCGATCTTTCTCCAAGGTAGCTTCTTCCGGTAAAGATCTGTCATCACTTTGTAAGCCCTTAACATTTACCTTTTTAAACCTGCAATCGAAGCAAAGAAAGATTATCTGCAGTAAATAATGAATACATAATGACAAATAGTCATCCAAAAATCAGTATAATTGTTAAAAGTCACACATCGCCTACCTCATGTCATTTGGTATGGTTTAAATACATGTTAGACTACTTCACATATTGCCAATTGGTTTTATGTTGGAACCTTAACATGGTATCAGAGTCAAAGCCTAACATCATTCCAGTTATTATGGGCCAAAAGTTGCCCTTTAGTTGGGTCAAAAGTACCATTTGCCTAGTCTGGCAAGCTTCGTTGGCGGGGGTGTGTTGAAAGTCCCACATCGCCTACCTCATGTCATTTGGTATGGTTTAAATATATGTTAGGCTACTCCACGTATTGCCAATTGGTTTTATATTAGAACCTTAACAATAATAAAAACATCCAAGTGGGAACATTACATAAATCAAGAGACACCGTTAAAACCCTTTATGATTTATAGCAATTAGTTGAAGAGGAGATTTATTTTTTTTCCATGAAGCATTGTGTCTTTGCCAGATTTATCAAAGTCAAATAAAAATCAAAGAAATAACCAGTAATTAAAATAACTTTGATCCAGCATTGATGTAGCTGCCCAACAATCAATATTTTCAAGAGACAAAAATATAGTGATACACTATGACCATCTAGAATATAAAATCATGTGCTCTCATACTAAATCTGACAAGATATAGGTGAGAAAATGTATAATTTTCAAGAGTCATGATGTTGAGTAACTGTTGGCAGATTAGACGAAAGAGATTTATTGCACTGAACCTACCTGGAATAAGGACTTTTGAGTGCACGATTTCTCCTAATCAACCAATTACAACTCCAAAACTGTTTTTCCCTCCTATATTTTTCTATTTTACAACAGTTGTAACAACATCAACCAAGTAACTTCCCCAAAGAAGCTTCACCCAGTTAAAGAACCACTTTGCATTGAGCTCTTTTCTGTTCTTAGTATACAAATTTTTAATATGATGTCTGACATGATTTTATTATGTACATCAAAGTTGATTTAAGATATGCTGGAAATACTTTTTAGGGACGGAAATCAATACCATGCAAGGCCAGGCAATGTATCAATCTAGTTATTCAAATTTATTAAGGAATAATATTTTGAGGAAAGCCTGACTTCAGCTAGGATGCATTTTAAATAGACAAAATAAGTTTCCAATTGAAGGCACTTAAATAATAAGTTATCCAAATTAGAAGCTGTTATTATAATACATGGATTAGTGTAGCAAGCATGATTCTCATATATCGTTATTCACTTTCAGAAGTAATAATTGATATAAAAAAGGTAGTTTTACTTTATTATGATAGCAACTGACACAAGACAGGAATGCTGAGGAAGAATCACCTGTCAAAGAAACTGGAAGAACTTCTAGTTGGTTTTTTCATATTTCCCGTGTTTAGTAGTTTCCCACTATTTGTCGCACTTGAACTTTTATCGGTATTCAAGTTTGATGAAACTATTGTGGGATTTGTATTTAATTGCCTTGCTACAACATTAACCTGATTTTCATTAGTTTTCATATCAACTGCAGTTGTATAATTGGTTTTGGGTAACGGGATTTTGTTAGTTCCTGTCTCAATGACTCCATGCCCTCCATTTGCTAAAGCCCCAGTTTTGTCAATACCAACTTGTAAAATCCTACGCTTTTCAACCTGTAACGTGTAAGATAGTGGGTCATAAATACAAGTGAAAAAATGGTATGGACATCCCTAACATAACTATCAAATTTTGAATGAATCAATTTGAAGATTAACGCTATTAGAGAAATAAGCCATTTATATCTGACATAGTGATACGGTTATTCTAAAAAAATGGACGTACAATGAGTGCAATACACATAATAAAAAAAGTATAAAAGTTAAAATAATAATAATAATAATAATAATAAAGATATAATTGCAATTGTGCAAATTCAAATTAAAAACACATTTCTTAGACATGGTCAAAATAAATAATTATAAAACATTTTCATCATATTCTTTACACATATGAATAACACCATCAAACTTGTTACTTTTTTAAATAATTCATAAAGAGAACAATTTCCATCTTTGGTTATATTACACATATATTTCTTCTTCTATTAGATATATATGCATTTAAAATGGGTGGGCACTTTATTAATATATCAGTGAAGTATCCAAAAATATTGCATGAAAAATAAAAGTATCAATGTTTCATAGGTTTGGATACTTCATTGAAGTATCCGAGGGCATTGGTATTATATATTAGATATGGGATATGTGAAACAAATTGAACTAGCATTGCTTCATAGATGATAACATCCCATCTGGCTAATAAAAAACAATTTAAGGTCTACAAGCACTCTCAGGGATTGAATTAAAATAAAACTAAAATATTTCTGCCATAATATTAAAAAAATAATTAAACAATATATGTGAATAAGATTTGCAAAGTCAAATTATGGATCAGTTTGTTTAAACTTAAACCAAGTGTTTCTTGCATAAGCAATTAAAAAAAAATCACTTACATGAGAAGCAGAGAGAATTTGTTTCTTAAAAGAACCAGCAAACTAATATTTAAAATAAACAGATTAGACAAACACATAGAAAAATATAAATCTTCTTATTTTATTAAAAAAAGCTTTTATTTATTTTTTAAAATAAGCACAAACAAAACGCAACCAGTATTTGACTTTCAAATTTCATTTTCATTGTTTCAAACTTGAACCTACAAGCAAAACTAATTGTTTACCTTTCAGTCACAAAGCAATTAATTATATATAAATAAGCATAATCATTGGTCAACAAACATATTTTTATATATAAATAAGGAGTTATACAAGAGAGGAGACAAAACAGAAAGTTTGAATATCCTCCTTAAATAGGGAAGGATGGGAAAAATATATAACTAAACTAAAAGGTCAAATTAAGGAAATCTAACCTCGTGTACCAAAATCTGCTTCATAGCTACAGAAAGAACGTAATGGTTTGAAGTATAATCCTGCACAAATGCATTCAATAGAATAGATATTAATATCTGGCTGAGATTCTTATACTTCAATGAAAGAAATATGACTGATGATCCAAAGTCCAAACCTTGAAATTTATAAAGTCACTGATAGGAGGCACAAGAGACAGTGTCAAACCATCTGCTACTTCACACTTCAGGGTTTGAGGCAGTATATCTGATTTCACAGTCTTATATGTTATAGCGTATGATACCATTTTGCTAACTAATTGAGTAAGATCATTCTTCTCCTTATCTGATAGTAATTGTAATGCCACCTAAAGAAAAAAGAAAACCATATCAAAAAAGAGGAAAAAAAAAAATAGTGTAACTGGAGCTGAACCAAGCTAATATGAGTCAGTTTAGCTATCAGACACCAAGTCCTTTACAGGAAACATTGGATTAAAAATCAAAGATCTGCTCTTGATACATATGAAATTTATTAATGAAAACAAGGGAAACAAAAATACAAGAGCCATAGACAAAATAGAATTAAAGAAAGAAAACATAACAATGCAGGAACTTCATAAACAAAACTGCAAAAACAGACTTACAGTAACTGTTGCACGGCTGTAAACTTAGAGATTGGGGATTTATAGGTTCTAGGGATTAAATCGAACTGAACTAGGGTTTTATTTGAACTGAATTCAATAATAAATAATAAGACAAAGGACGTCCATCATTCTTTATCATAAAACTTCCTTTCTCCTAAGAATCTCAACAAAATTATTTTATCGAAAACAACAGTCTGTCTTTGCATTACTCAAGCAACAATAGAGGAGGAAGACAAGGAGAGAAAATTGATTGGATAACAAAACTATATTCAAATAGAATTAGTACATCACCGGTCTTATAGTTGGTGGGGACAGAATATGTAACAATGGAGAAATTAAGTCTTCAACAAAGGAACTAGTTGATAAATGCCTTGCAATTTGCGGGGGGATTTTGTGGTGCCAGGTATTCAAAATGTCCATCTTTTCCATCATCATTGTACGATATCTGAACATCATTAGAAAACTTCGTTTTGTAAGAAAGTACATTTTAAAATTTATTCTAAACACACTATCACATGAACAAGATATACCTCTGATGTGACTTTGGCCACTCAATGTTTGGTTTCTGAACTTGAGATACTATCTGATGTACAGTAATTGGTACTAGGGGCAAATATACTGATGAAAGAAAAGATAAAGAAACAAGAGTGAGATTTAACTTGTTAAAAAATTAAAGTGGGTAAATTATCTTCTTACCATAAAGGGGCATCTGTTGTGTATGCATTATATACTGATGCAATAGATCATAAACTCCAAGATTGTTGAAGCACTTGACCTTCAAACAGATATCGAACAAAATTTTCAATGATTCAAAAGAATCAGTGAGTGAATCCAGGAAATCAGTTGGTTTTCATTAATGCTTACAGTTTTCTGCATCATTGGGTCATGATAATTGAGCCGCAAAACATTTTCATGAATTCCATCAAGAATCAAGTCACTATCACCACTGCACATTAATATTCCCATTTTATGATGAAGATTTATATTTGATCGATAGATGAAGAAAGGAGTAAGACAGTAAAATATGGCCCACCGGTTTGACACAAGGGAGTACAATGAGTCAAATTCAAAGGACTTCCCTCTCTGAGAGTTTCTTTCCATCTTTTTTGTTCTTCGCTTATAGAAAATCTACACAAAGAATACCAATCAACGGTAAATTTAAAGTTATTAGTTACCTTACTGGGTAAATAGACAAATTTAAAAGAGGTGTGAGTATTACCTCTTTCCAGATGTCTAGAACATTCTTTGACTTGTCCTTCTGGCCAACTACTTGAGAACCAATATCAAACTGTGAACAAGTAAAACAAGTGAAAATTAATCGAGCATCTAATGAGGGAAACAAATTTTCTTCACTCAAACAAAATGTACTCCATATTTTGAAGTGAACGGCCATAAAGCCACAAATAGATTGTGATATTAATTATAGGACCAAAAAGAGACAGGATTCTGATATATATTCCCTTCCTTTATAATACAACACAAAATGATGCAAGAAATATAAGACTGAAAAAACTTGCAAACCGTTAACAGTTGTACTGACTGAGTGAGGTTGTTAATTCTAAGGTGCTTCTGGAATGAGATCAAACTTATGCCACGCTTGACACTGAACAAGCATTCTGCCACCACAGCCCACGGAATGCCCTGTAAACCGGCTTCTATTGAAATCTCCACAATTATCTATAAGAAGTCTCATATTACCTTCCTCATGATGTTATATGATATGATTTTAAATAACTTAGACTACTCTATATATTACTAATTGGTTTTATGTTAAAACCTTATCATAGTATCTGAGCCAAAACCTAACTTCTTTCCGATTGTTATCTTGGGCCAAGAGTTGCCCTTTCGATGTGGATCAGAAGTACCTTTTGTCTGTTCCGACAGACTTGTTGCAGGGTGCGTGTTGGAAGTCACATATTGTTTGCCTCATATAATATGGTACGATTTAAATAACTATTAGGCTACTCCACATATTGTCAATTGGTTTAATGTTGGAACCTTAACATTACCAAAAGGCTAGTAATAGAGATTTGATGGCCTTAAGTAAAGTGGTTAGGCAAGATGTGCTTGAAGAGGGATGTAAGAGGATGATTCACATGCTGATGATAAGGAAGGGGTTGTAAAAACATAATATATACAAAATATATTTTTGTATCTTCATATTTATTTTTCTAGATTTTCTTATTTCCATTTTATATGTAAAAGCAAAACTTGAGATTGAAATTTTTCACACAATTAATACAAAGGTCATTTGTTCTCAACATACCACCATAGATCTTGACTTTGTTCGCTCCCGTTACTAAATATCAATTGGTTCCTATATGCTCCTCGGCTATGGGTTTTTGAACAGGCTAGGGATTGAGTTAGATCATATTAGAATTTACACCTACAACCTAACTCAACCCTATAAATCCAACTTGTTATGTGAGGACTACCTAATCTTTGTATGTGTTATTTAAATCATATCTCTAGTTAATGTAATACTAAGTCATCACCCCTGAGGCTGCAATTAAGGCAGCCTCTAAGGCCACTATAAGGTAAAGCTAGAGATGACTGCAATAAAGTTAGCAACGTTTCCATCAAGTGAGGACTGCTCAAGTTTTTAATGTGTTACCTGCGCTGAACAAGCATTTAATCCCACAAGCTTGAAGCCAAAGCTTTTTACCATATGTGACAGGTGCTTTCACCCCTCCCTCACTTTGTTGTAAATGATACACTTGTTCATAGAACATTATAGTGTGATGCTGCAATGGCCACTTAGTGGGATTTGGTTAGTTTTTTAATAGCTCCTTGTAACTTTCTTCAGCATCGTCAAAAGTGACTCGCAAAAGCCCCATAGATGGCGGACTTTCTGATGAAGAATCATGAATGGATGAAAATTTCCTAGATTCCAAATTAGACCTCGTTATTAGAAAGTGATGTTAAGCTTAACTCAATCATATAAAATTCGTTCTAAGGTGAGAGTTGTCTTCACTTGTATACCATATTTTCAAACTATCTCTAATTTATGAGGACTGGGGGTTTTTCCAATCCTCTTGAATAAATCAACTAGTATATCATAGTTTGGTCCAAAATTCTAAAGCACAAACTCCCTAGGATTGTTTTGCTAAGCCAAAACTAATCAGTAAATGTGAGAAGACTTCTTGAAGTCATTGAAGAAAGTACCAACATAGTTGCTAGATATTGCATACTAGGGCATAACTAGAAAATGACTGTCAATTCCCCACATTTTTTAGAAGTATAACCGAACCATAAATGGCCCATGTTAGTGTGCACTCATCCAAAGATGATTATGATATATTAGCAGAAAAGACAGGGAATCAATTGTCCTTTGCTGGTGAGCCCACAAGTAGGCAATATCTAATAAATATGCATGCTGCTTTCTTGGGTGGCTTAAGGGGAGCTTCACACACTTATGGATCAGTCCAGGTTCGGAAAAACAGTCTTAGGACATTTATGCATAAGAATGTTGGACCAAACAATGATACACTAGTTGATTTATTCAATCATTGCAATTTGACATTATAATATTCAGTTAATCAACTCACAAATGGAGGAGGGAGGGTATGACATCACTGGTCACATTTGGTAAAAAGCCTTGGCTTGAAGCTTATGAGATCAAATGCTTTGTACTATGAAGGTAACATATTAATAAAACTTATAAAGCTTGAGCAGTTCTTTCCTCCCTGAAAGCTACCTTAATTGCAGGCACCGCTAGCTCACCTTAACGGGGCCTCTTTCTAAGTTGTCCTAATTGTAGCCACAATCTATTTAGGTGTCTATATCTTTGAAATCTTGTTCTCCCTCACATGTTTTTGAAGCAGAAAATGGGAACACATGTAAATTGTTTTTCTTCTCTAACTTATTTTTTGTGTTACAGACAATGTCTCACATGTAAGACGTAGTTAATTCTCTTTCTACTTGAATTCAATTTCGCACTTGAATCGCAACTCTAGTATAGCAGATTCTCTACTCTCACTTTAAACTACACACTGCCACTATTGTCACACCCACTTCCGAAACATTCTAAAAAATCCATCAAATAGATTTAATACTTGAATATGTAAAACAATTTAACCAAAAAAATAGAATCAAGCAGCTCCTTCATCTCATTCTATCTCTAATGCTATTATCTAATAGATTGTTATGTAGGCTGGCTCGTAGATACATGGGAAGTATACTTGTACTTACTACTATAAACTAAACATACACATTAGTTAGAAGCCTAAGTTTAAGTAAGGCGTCCCCCTTGAGAATTCTGTCTCATGTTTTTCTTTCACAAAGTATAAGATCGAATGTGTTACCTGAGTACTCTAATAACTGAAATTTGAATTTGTAAAGTTCACAAATGGTAGAGTTATAAAAGTCCAAATTATATTACACAAGCTTTCTTACAATAAGGTGGTTCTCGGGAATAAGCTGAGATACTAAGGAAAATGTAGATGTTGGGGATCCCACATCAGCTAGAAATATGGCCAAATAATAACATATAAGTAAAAGCAAATCTCACCTTAAAAACTAGTTTTGTGAAATCTAGTTAAACGTAAAATCCACCTTCCAAAATGGTATCAAAGTCTATCCTAACCAGGTTTGTTAGGTTATTATGTCACCTTCTATAGAAACACCCACAATATCTAGTCCCCCACTTGAGATGCCCAGTTCTTGGCTTCAGGAATGTGTTCTAGATCCCATATCGGTTATAGATATGGTCAAATTGTAGTATATAAGGAGATGCAAATCTCACCTTACAAACCAATTTTATGATGTTGAGTTAATATCCACTTTCTAAGAGTAAATTTTATGAATAATCAACATCATCCAATTCTAGAAATTAGTAAATCTTAGTACACATAAACGGAATAACCAATCGGTAATAAGTATTAAAAAAGTAACATGTTTCTTTAACTTATTCAAATGTTTTCAAAGCATGAAATTAGGGAGCTGCTATTCAATTGTACAAGAAATAAATACAACAAATCCTATATGAATTCACGAGTGTTAAAATTTCTTCAAAACTTCTGGATCAATGCTGAAGTCTTACCATGTTGAGGACTTCTTTCTTCTTGGAGAGAAATTGGAGAGTATTCAAGCATGATCTAATATCACATTCTGTAATGAAAAGGGAAACAAGAGAGCAAGAGAAGGCTTAAATGATTGGAAGATTATTTGAGAAATATAAAATCGAGCAGAAAAAGCAGCTTTAATTAACAAGGTGTCAAAACATCTAGACACACCACAAAATCAAATATCAGATTTAGCATGAATCAATCATTCAAGGTGTGACAAACATTATCCATACCAAATAAAGATTAATGCAGAAGTGGTAGAGCAGGAAATGGCAGTTCTCATTGCTGACATTGGAGAGGCTGAGAAGGTGGTTAAAAACGTGACCCATTATTAGGTAAAAAAAGACAAGTCAAATAAAAAAAGGAATAGTATGATGCGGCATAACCCTGGACATACTTTTGGAACCCAGTAATGTAAGTGGATGCCATCTCTCTTTATTTTGCATTGTATATTTCTTTAATTATTGTCATCTGTTATTGTGTCTCTCTAGGTTTAGCAGTGGATTCTGACTATATATATAGCTACTGTATACAGTAGCTTAGTACCTTTTTGTTCGTTTTCTACAACATACAAGCTTATCAATTCTATCTACTAAAAGGAGTGAAAAAAAAACTCTCCTGACACTGCTTTCGACTTTCCTCCCTCAACTTGAAGCAAAACATCAATGCATGCAAAAGTGTATGGGTACTGGGTAGAAACAAAATAATATTAACGATAAACATAAGAAAAATACCTGTATATTCTGCTAGAGCAGTGAGTGCAATTGCACTGGCTTTCATTCCCTCCTTGTTACATATGTACGTCAGCCTACAAAGATCATTTATGAAACTAAATGAACAGAGAAGACACAGCTAAACAAAAATAAAGTGGTCAAATATTCAGTCTTGCAACAATGAGTACTAATCCATAGAGTTCACAATTCATTCAAAGTTATATGTACAACCTCAATCCATATCTTGTTAATAATGTCTCAAGTGAAATTGTCTTGGAGGTGGCAATTCAATGCCAATAAAGGGCAAACCAGGCTGGCAACTAAATAAATATGACCTGTTTGAAATGTACTATAGAATAAGAAACATCAAAAAAATAGGGAGGCTAATAAAATCGTAAGAGCTAAAAGATGGGAAAAAATTGGGTGGTAAAACAGAAACCACATTCCTAACACAAGCAACAAGAGGTAGCATCATTAAACAAAAACCTTTTGTGAGTGGTACCATTGAGTAAGAATGCACATATGACAAATTAGACCCAAGAGCTTATGATGTTCAGCAGGTGGAAAGTGGATAAAACAAACACAAGCCAAATGGGTATAGATCAGTATAATCGGGATGAACTTGAAAGAGGTGACAGAAAGGTGACTGCTCCAGTGGAGGAAGTAGCAGTGATAGAACTATGAGTTGGGTGCACTTCAAGCTAACCCTATAATCAAAGGAAATTGGTGCACTTCAGGCAACCTTAAGAAGAACCGTGTCAAAAACAGTAAAGAAGAAATTCGGAAGCAGAACCCCGAAGATCAGGGGCTCTGATTCCAACTTGAGAAGAATTAATTTGAATGAAAGAAGATGTTTTTTTCTATTGAGTTAATCTAAAACAGTACATCAACATCTATATATAGAAAATCCTAACCCTAAATGAATAATTACAAAGAGATCTCTAGAATCTTCTTAACAACTTCTGACCACTTCTAACAATGCATTTAATATCTTACTATCAACATAAATCATAATGTAGATATAAACAGTTATTCAATCCGTAAGTAGCTAAAGCGGAGATTGCAATTAATTAAAATGTAAATAAACATTTCTTTATTAAAGTCAACTGTAGTTCAAGGTAAAGTAACATCTACACCACTGTGCTGCCAACTGAATCCATTCTACATCTTCCATTATGTAGAAAGTGTCGTATTGCCAAAACATATATTATCTTTTTTCCAGCTTTGTCCTTTCTCAAACCTAGTGCTTAATAAACATTCCTCTTTCATCTATTACCAAAAAAGTAGTCATTTAGTCCTATTCAACTTTGTTTTTCTAAAAGGTAGGATTTCCTTAATCCTTATGTGGCACACTAAAACAATATTTTAAAAGGGACTATTGTAGACTTGCCCCATGATAAATGGAACCAAAGAGTAATTAATCAAGTATGTCAACTAATGGAAAATAGAATAAGTAGGCACAGATATTATACGTAAAATTGAACCCTTTCTAGATAGGTATGAGGTATGAACTATTAATCATCACCTGTTCACCACACGACTAACTGTTGGTTGAACAAATATATGAACCCTGTCATGGACCAAAAGTTTGTTGTCAAGAAATCAGATTATATACACATCTAAATATACAAATAAAAATGCAAACAGGAAAGACATAAGCACTAGCTCAGGTAAATTAGTATTTAAGGATAAAGAATCAAAACTGTAACAAAAAGAAACCTCTCATCTGAAATTCAAGTAGTAAAAGGAAAATCCATCAAATAATAGTCTGACTAGACAAACAATCCCTTTACACATGGAAGCACTATAATGGGAAAAAGAGAAGCTTGATCAACAAATAATCAATCTTCTAGCACTTACCTAAACCAAATAACAAGGTAATTAAGGGAGGAAGTAACCCTTTAGGCTATCAATTTTTGGAAATTAGGAATTCCATTGATCCTTTTTGTATATTCATGATTGTACCCTAATCATTCATTGTGATTGCCCCCATCTTTCTCTTGCCAAAAGTAAAACAAAAAATAGCTCACTAATTGTTGGAACCAATTTCAATAAACTAGAAAATATATACAGAAATTCTACAAATGAAAGAAAAATAAAGGAATAAACTCTTTTCCAATCCTCCAATTTGTGACTGTTTTAAATAAATCCTTGTCTGTAACACTCGTCAATGCATTCCAGTTTTTCAAACAAAGGTGCGAAAGATTCTCAGAGGAACAGTTTAACCTTCCTAATAATCGGAAGAATAAGTTTGTATAAGGTGGGGGGCTCGGCTGATGGGAGTTGTTGCCAGTAAGCATACATGGAGCCAAAGCCAAAACATAAGCAATGTTGTTGGTAAAGTCATGGGCATTGGCCAACTGCAGGGGCACTCGTTTTGGCAATGTCTTGAACATGACTTGAAATCAAGTTCCAGTGGCTTAAGAACAAAAAATATGAGCATGAAGAAAATAATTTCATCTCTGTTATTTTATATAACCAAAGAGAATATATAGAAAGAAGGAAGGAAATGAAAAAGAAATAATACAAAAAGTATTCCTAAAATTAACTAGGAATGAGCCAAAAATAGAATAGTTGACAGCTATGATGTACAAATACAATACGAGTATCAGATACGATACATATCTGATATGGCAATTTGTCTTATATTAAAAATATAAGATACGACACGTTTAAGATATATATATATATATATATATATATATATATATATATATATATATATATATATATATATATATATATATATATAATTCATAAAAATATTATATATAATTATTAAATATTATTTAAATTGAACATATTAAATATATATATAACTTTAAAATAAAATTTAAATGTAAAAGTGTTGCACACAACAACTCACGCCGAAACACCCTAGAAGACACTGGAGCTGCTACACACATTAAAGAAAAGGAAATCAATCTCACATGTTAGAACACGCCAAAAAAATAGGAAAGTCTCATACTCGAAGACGAAGGGAGCGAGAGAAAACCAAGGAGAAACAAACGCGGGAACATATAAGAAACAAACCAGGAGGGAGCAAGAGAAAAATTAAGGAGAAACAAGCGGCAACAACAACATGAAACTATCAGCTCTTAGAATAATAAAATGTTGGAAAAGAGATACATATTTAAATAATTCAAATATGTTTTGATTAATTTAACAATAATAATAACAAAAAAATATTTGTTATTCTGTTTTTTTTTTTTCCATTCTTTTTCTATACGAATTTTTTAAGTATTAAGGTGAATTGGTATTGGATACATATCCAATACCAATACGTTGAGCTTGCCAACATATCGGTGCATCAGAGGTTGATAGTAATCCTTCCGATTAACGACATGTCATTATTCTCTTAAAACTTAGGGATTGATTTCCTACAAAAGTTTCCCATCAAAGTTTTCTCAGATAGCAACATAAGACTTTAGTGGCAGTTGTTGGGGTTGAATTTTGTTTTAAGGTAGTATAGAATATATAACACCTTCAAATAAACAAATTAGTTATATGAATCAGAAACTTACTTGGCTACCTGACGTAATGGTCTTAAGGCAGGTGCATATAGGTCATTACAAATGCAAATCACCTACATATTGACAATCAATATCATCATCACTGGAAATGAAGTGTCTAGAAAACAATACTAACAACATGAACATCAAAACATCCAAAACTCACAGGTCTTGAAAGTGAAGCTGTTTTTGAACCCTTTTTTGATGCCTTCTTTTCCAGTTGTCCTTTGCTCAGACTTTGTTTCCCCGCATCAGGCTTCCTTTCGGCAGAAATCTGCATGATTTTTTAAAATGGAGATTTATAATTTCCCATAACAAACTTTCATTAATGATCCCATGTAACTGTGATTATACTTTTCCCAGAACAAGGAGGCCTTAATACCAACTTCCCTTCACCCTATTAATTGTAAATATACCAGCATAATTTTATTTGGTTAGAAAAAGCTACAAATTTATGTTAAATATTTTTATGTTTCATTATAGTCAATTACAAGTAACACAACACAACAGAAAAGGAACTTTAGTCCTCTCAACCCAGGGAAATTTGTTGAAAAAATACAGTTCTATAATAAAATGCATACAAACAATATTTCAGATAGTCAGGCTGTTCAGATCCCAAAAGTCCAATTTACCCTCTCAAAAGTGTATATCTATTTCAAAAATCCAACAACACCAGAAAACTACATTCAGCTACATACATGTCCTCAAGCCTATCTGATGGGGACATGAGGTTCATATCACTATCACAACATGTCTAGTAAGATAATCTATGTTCTTGTATTGTACTTATTCATGAATGCGTGAAAAGTCAACAAACTATCAAATGAATTGTATTGGAACCGCAAAAAAAACAAGGAATAAAACTTGTTTGATTACTTTGATGGAATTGAGAACTTTGATAATGTTAAAGGAATCTTCAATATGACAACAATTAAGAAAATCTGCTTAGACAATACACCTTAGGAGACAGACCAACATTGGCATCTAGCACTAACCATCTTTAGAAGAACCTCCACAGCTCCCTTACCATCACCAAGAGCTCCATCAATTTCATCCACCACCTGAAATGAAAAAGGCAACCGATAAGCATTTTCACCTTCATGCACTGATAGAAAGATACAACATAAAACTAATCAAACGAAGAAAAAATACCAGACACTTTGGCCTTGAATCAGACAAGACAGAGTTCATCTGGACCACATCAAGAATTTTGGCTTCAATTGTTGATGTAGAACGATCATCACTGGCATTAATCTACAAAATTTAAACTCTTATTTGGTATACATTGAAATTATAGGAATTTAGGTAGAGCAGGAGAAAAGAGCGAGCAAGCTAATGAATAATTAGGAATTGGATATGATGTGATGTGATACGAAAGACAAGTATTGCCACTAACCCTATTTACGACAATGATGAAGCCACTCCTAAGAGATTATTATGATACTTTAAATATTCTAACATACAATAAGAACAAGAGAATATTTTCTAGATATCATAACACTCTCCTTCAACCTAAATCTTACAAAGCTTTAAGAATGTATAATTAAACACCTAAAAGAAAAAAAAAATCTACATATAGCACCGTGGCAATCAACAACTAACTGGAGACAAGACCAACGGATACTGGACTATAGACAATGGCTAAATTGAAACTGGGACAGAGACAGAAAACGTGAGTCATAGCCAACATAAATCATTAGTAGTATTATTCATCATCAGAAATAAGTCACCACATTTTTTTATTTTCCACAAATATCCTCCTTCCAATGCAATTTTGCTTGAGGTACAGTCAAGAACTAAATGTAGGAATATCTTTCAAAAGAGCTTTAAACATTGGTACACCACTTTGTGGGGAACTAACCCACTCTACTAAAGCAACCCCTGTTGGTAGTCACCACTGTTAAATAGCACATGTTAATAAAAGAATGCACATATAATCAAATTATACATAATTTATAGTTAAGTGTGTTAAGGTTCCAACATAAAACCAATTGGCAATATGTGGAGTAGCCTAACATGTATTTAAACCATACCAAATGATATGAGGTAGGCGATGTGGGACTTTCAACACACCCCTTCCAACGAAGCCTGCCGGACCAGGCAAAGGGTACTTTTGACCCAACTAAAGGGCAACTTTTGGCCCATGACAATAACCGGAAAGATGTTAGGCTTTGGCTCTGATACCATGTTAAGGTTCCAACATAAAACCAATTGGCAATATGTGGAGTAGCCTAACATGTATTTAAACCATACCAAATGATATGAGGTAGGCGATGTGGGACTTTCAACAAAGTGAAAATAGTTTTTCCATAATTCATACAATTACTAAAAAATTTATTCTAGGAATATTTTATAGTAAGAAAGAGAGTGTGTGAAAGAGAGTAAGGAAGTAAGGGATGAGAGAAAGATATAGTGGCAACAACAGCAACCAAACTTATGCCAACAGATGTGTGATAACATTGTAGATGACAAATATAGCTCAACACCATCAAGTAGTTCCACTAGTTCTCTCTGGCCTTATTCATGAAAAGGGATGGAAGAATCCCTACTATCAAATGAATACATAATTTATACACCAGCAAAGAAATAAATTCCATCATTAATTAAATAAAAAGTAAAAGAGATTACGGCTTGAAGACGCATGATTCTACATTTAAAATAATACAGAAAAATACCTCTACCACATGATATCCACAATGCCTAGCAGCTACATGTGCTAGTGTTGTTTTTCCAAGACCTGGTGGTCCACAGAGCAGAAGGATCTGTGATCATTACAAAAACTTAGTTACCAATGGGATTCAACATTCAATATCTAACATGATGGCTATCATAAAACATTTATATAAACCAAATGAATGCATCTTATGCCATGTACAAAAAAGACAATGAGCATAGTGCAATTGCAAGATTAGAAGGATTACAATGATAATACTACCTCCAATCCTTTATATAGAAACAACAGAGACCATGTTTTTGCCCTTATTATAAGATACATAGGACCACTTTCAAATGTATTAATTGCTAAATTCCGTTTAAACCCTTACTTTATCTAAAGTCTATTAATGAGATATCCACCTATTTCCCATGAAAGTAGATGCACATATATTGGGCTATTAACAGCATAGGGCAAACTATTGGTAGAAAAAATATTCATGGAACAATGGTAGAGTTGATAAGTATAACCACCACTCAAAGCATAATTCTATGGATATTTTTGGAATAAAATCAAATTTGACATTACTAATTAAAACTAACCGATTTTTATTGGTCTTAATGAATTAGATACTGACTCTTTTGTATAGGACCAAACATAGTCTTAACAAGAATTGGATACTCTCCTCATCAAAAGAGTTTTCTATATAATGATCCTAATCTTTGCAGGATTTGGCTCTCTAGAAACTTAATCTTTCAAAAAATACATATTTTTTTGCAATACAACATGAACCTCTATCTTTTTCAATTTCTGTCATTATTCTTTAACTCTTTTGCAAGTCAATAGTTATCTTAAAACCCCTTAACCTACAAAAGACATAATGTTGTCCCTCAACATCAGCCAACAGAATCTCATGGACCCCCTCCAAATAATACCTTGGATGATGATCCTATACAAGAACCAACTACTTTATGACGTAATTCACAAAATTGTAAGCCCACAGAAAGGTATATGAGTTCTTTCTTCTTAAAAGCATGCGAAGGAGTGTTAAGAGGAGTAGCCCACAAAAAGGTATATCAGTTCTTAACTGTGAAGCACCGACACGGCTACCCTCATCCGTGTCGGAGTGTCGCGGACGTTTGCGACACCGACACCGACACGACACTTCGCGGAAGCGTGTCCGACTCTTTTTTGCAGTGTCCCCTGCACCAAAAACGTGTCGCGAGGCTGCGATTCATGTGGACACGGCGTGCCCTAATTCCGACGCAGTGTCGACACGGCTCCGACTCGGGAACAGTGTTTTATAAAAAAAAAATTGAATTTTTTCTATTTACTTTTATTTTCACGTATCCTTCCTTTCTTCCTTCCTCTCGCACGTATCCTTCCTTTCTTCCTTCCTTCCTCTGCACCTTTCCATTTCTCGCTCCAAAGCTTTCCTTTCATCCAAAAAAGCTTTCTTTTTCCTTCCAGCTTTCCTCCGCTGTGTGCTACTATGCAGCTTAATCCGAGAGCACAAACCACACAACGCTCTCGCCCAATGAACTCCGAAATAACGAAGTAGTTGAAGAGCCACTATTAGCAATGTTGGCAGGGAAAGAGTGGAGGCGAGAAAGACAATGTTGGCGAGGAAACAAATGAAGAGCCGTAAGATGAAATTCCAACCCATTTACGAGAGAGGGAGGAATATAGGGTTTGTGAAAGAGAAAAGGGTAGAGAGTTCATTGTTGTTCGGGTATTCCACTTCATCATGCTCTCTTTTGCTGTACATGGTTTACGTCTTTGTTTTGCTTTGTTTTCCTTTATAATGTTTCATTTTTTTTATTAGAATGCGATAGTTATGAAATGATGAACATAGAAAAATCATATGTTATTGGTTTCATTTATGTAGAAATGAGTAATTCTAGTCGACTTTTACAAGATGATGATATCAAACCCCTATGGAATTATGTTACAAAGATAAAAAGTGTTGGTGGAGGTGGTGGAAATTATGAGGTAAAATGCAATATTTGTAATCTTACTTTCAATGGATCTTATACTAGAGTGAGAGCACATTTGTTGAAGATTACGAGAAAGGGAGTTAGAGGTTGTCAAAAAATAACACCCTTGAAGCTTGGTGAACTAACAAAGCTAGACAATGAAGCTACATTGAAGATAGAAAGGTCTAAGACAAAATTTGTCCCTTTGCCTCCGGTTTCTAATGAATCATCTATAGATGGTGTTGATATCAAAAAAAGAAAAACATTCGGATCACTAGATAAAGCTTTCAATATGCAAGCTAGAGAGACATTAGACTATGAAATTGCTAGGATGTTTTACTCATCGGGATTGCCATTTCATTTAGCAAGAAATCCTTATTATAGGAGAACTTTTTCTTTTGCTGCCAATAATTATGTAAGTGGATATCAACCACCAGGTTATAATAAGTTGAGAACAAGTTTGCTTGCTAATGAAAGAAGACATGTAGAGAAGCTTTTGGAGCCAATCAAAAATACATGGAGTCAAAAAGGTGTTAGCATTGTTAGTGATGGGTGGAGTGATCCCCAAAGAAGACCTCTCATTAATTTCATGGTCAGTTACAGAGAGTGGACCTATGTTTTTGAAGGCTATAGAATGCTCTGATGAGATTAAAGACAAAGATTTTATAGCCAAACAAATGAGAGATGTAATTATGGAAGTTGGACCTTCAAGTGTGGTGCAAATTGTGACCGATAATACACTCGTATGTAAGGCCGCAGGTTTAATGATTGAAGCTCGATTTTCCTTGTATTTATTGGACCCCTTGCGTTGTGCACACTCTAAATCTTGTTTTGAAAAATATATGTGCAAGCAAAGAACACGAGAAAAAATAATATTGCTTATCAAGAATGTTCTTGGATCACAAATATAGGAGAAGATGCTATGTTCATAAAAAATTTCATCATGGGTCACTCAATGAGGTTATCTATTTTCAACTCATTCAACTCATTAAAGTTGATTTCCGTTGCTCCAACAAGATTTGCTTCTACTATAGTCATGCTTAAGAGATTTAAGCAATTGAAAAAAGGACTCCAAGAGATGGTTATTAGTGATGAATGGTCTTCTTACAAGGAAGATGATGTTGGAAAAACTAAATTTGTGAAAGATACATTATTGGATGATGTTTGGTGGGATAAGGTTGATTATATACTTTCTTTCACTAGTCCCATTTATGATGTTCTAAGAAAAACGGATACGGAAGCTTCATCTCTCCATTTAGTATATGAAATGTGGGACTCAATGATTGAAAATGTGAGAAAAGGTCATTTATCGATATGAAAGAAAGGCGGAAAGTGAAGAATCAATCTTTTATAATGTTGTGCACTCCATATTAATTGAACGTTGGACAAAGAGTAGCACACCTCTCCATTGTTTAGCACATTCTTTAAATCCAAGGTAATATTTTATATTCCTAAATAAAATTTTAGTTACATTTTTATATGTTATTGTAATCATGATTTTTATTTATATTGTAGATATTATAGTCATGAATGGCTAGGTGAAGATTCTAATAGAGTTCCTCCACATCAAGATATGGAACTTACTCGTGAAAGGGTGAAATGTTTTAAACGATATTTTGTTGATGTGGATATGAGGATACAAGTAAATGTAGAGTTTGCAAATTTTTCAGATGGAAGAGAAGGTTTTGATGACATTGATTCATTAAGTGATAGGGGTAAGATGGATGCAAAATCTTGGTGGCTTGTTTATGGTGCTCATGCTCCAATACTTCAAAAAATTGCTCTTAAACTACTTGGGCAACCATGCTCTTCTTCATGTTGTGAAAGAAATTGGAGCACTTACTCTTTTATTCATTCTATGAAAAGAAACAAGATGGCACCATATAGGGCAGAAGATCTAGTATTTGTTCATAGCAACCTCCGTCTTCTTTCAAGGAATTCTCCACAATATAACCAAGAGGAAACAAAAATGTGGGACATAGCAGGAGATGCATTTGGATCACTAGATGAGAGTGGAATGCTTGAAGTTGCTAATTTATCACTTGATGAACCAAAGTTAGAGAGTGTATTTTTCAATGATGATGATCATGAAGGCCACTGTCTTTAATAGATTTGATTCATCTTCTTATTTTGATACTTTCTTTTTGTTAAAAGACAAAGTTTTTATATTGTGAAATAGTAGTTCTTAGTATTTTTTGGTTAGGATATCATATGAAAATTGTAAAGTCTAACAACTTTGTCTTGAGAAGATGAATGAACAAATCTTAATTTTTAATTTATATATTTCTCATTTGAATCATATTTCAATTTTTATTCATAATATATATAAGGTGTCCCGGTGTCCTATATTTTAGAAGTTTGCCGTGTCCACGTGTCCGTGTCGTGTCGTGTCTCAGTGTCCGTGTCGGAGTCGGTGCTTCATAGGCTCTTAATGACCCTACTCTATATCGAAAACTAGTCAGAAAGTCATTGTTACCCAACCAACCAACCATTATGTCTGCACAAGTGAAGGATGGGTAAGTATATGTATAGTGAAAGTGTTATGCTAATAAACAATCAAAATGCTAATCATAAGTCAAATCGATATCCCAAATACTCATGTATATTCTACCCCTACATTGGCCTATAAACAAATAGTTAAATTGTTAATCATGCCCATCATGTTACCAATTTGACAAAAAAGGTCTCGAATCTCTTTTCCACCTAAACACAAATAATAGTACATTTCTACCAATTTGCACTATTGCATATTTTCTTCTAAAAATGATAGATGTGTTGATGGGTGTGGAAGAGTAACCATTTGGTTAAGCATATTAACCCGACAACTCTCAAGGAAAATGCAATCATGCAATTCTTATAAATACCTTTTGTTCCGGTGGACCAATATTCCTTGACTTCATATTCCTTACATCTTGAATCCTCTTTGAACTACCACTCTCATCCATCCTTGTAGAATTTATATACCTCCCCCCATTACTCCATTTGGGTCCTCCATTCTTCCCAGGAAACTTTGAATTTAAAGGTTTTTTATTGTGGACAGTAGAAGAATGTCGTTTCAATGCAGACAAAACATCATCTGATGTGCTTCGAATTTCAGACCCAAACACAACAGAATCCCATTGCTTCAACCACAACAGTACCTGTCCAAATTAACGAGTGAAAATAGTCAATGGCAACAAAAGCCAAGCTAGAGAGCCAAAGAATAAAGTCTTTAATACAACAGTTTTAATAGATGATTTTCATAGGTAAATGGTACTACAGATATGTACCTCACGATTTGTCTGTTCATCACTGAGAAGCTCAGTAAAGGAGTTGGGAGCATACTTATCAACCCAAAGGCGCTCATGAACCGTTTGTGCTTCGGGAACATCTGGAACACTTTGACCTTCAGAACTAGCTTCCAATGCCTTCAGCATCACAAGAACGAGAATAAGCAATCAGAAATATCATAACCTATGTTTGATAACTAATTTCAGATTCTTTCCAAGTAAATAACATACGACCACAATAAAAAAACAACGAAATTTTCATTCAAGTTTCACACTCAGAAGCTCAGCTCTTAACTCTTGAGTCCAAACCTTAGCAAAAGCCTCTTGCTCCAGCCTCTCAAGTATAACATTAATCGGTTCTGAACTAAGCTCTGCAAAACATGCAAATAAACTCACATCAAACAAAGATTATTATCAAAATTTAAGCGAAAACCTCACATCAAAACCATAGTATTCCTCACAAAGTTGGAATCGTAAAGTATCGTTTGGGTGTCGGATTTTGGATCGTAAAAAAAAAAGGATTATCTCTGTTTCTGTTGAAAATCAAATTCAAATATTTTGTATTTATTGAGTAGTTGTTTATAAACAAGTCATATCTGATCTAGAGGAACAAAACCTCCCCTAAGTATATGCATTTATTTACTTCACAGACATTATATAACTCTTTTGGTTCAAAAGTTATCCTTTCTTTGCTTTTGTTCCAACCTTTCCTCCAAACATGCCCTAAGGATATGAATTGAGATAAACACAAATAATCTTCAGTGCAGATTCATTTCAGGTTTTATTCATTTGGTAAAAACATTAACTTTTACTTTAACAGTTTCATTCCGACCTTGAGATTGATTTTCTAGGCACATTAAAAAATAAATAAACCACCAATTTCACTCTTTAAGTATTAGCCTCTCTCCTAAGTAGCTCTTTATTCGTTAAGTAATCTTAGAAATATTAAAAAAACATTTTAGTACCTCAAACATTGAAATAAAAAATAAAAATAAAACTTCAAACTAATCCTAAACTCTACAACTGAAATACATGAAAATAAGATTAAAGTGACAAATATTCCATATTCAGCAATTATTTAAATAGTTTAATTTCTTTAGGAATTATAAGTAAGGAGAGTAATAGTTCGAGAAAAAAAATGTACCAGCAGAATAGCTATTGCAATCGAGATTCTTCACGCGCTCTTCTCCTTCAAACCGATTCAGCTTCGCATAAACCCTGTCGCCGTTGGGCGCAGAGATCGGCATGCACTCGCCGTCAATCTCCGAGGCGAACCTCGACAACGTCTTCTCCTTCGGGAACGTCGTTTCCTGTGCCGACGGCTCCGGCAGCGGAGGAGAGTAGCGAAGCCAGTCCTCATCGGCCGCCGCGGTAGAGGAATCCTCCTCGACGGCAACCCTAACCTTCGTTCTCTTCTCTTCAGGAGGTGAACTCGGACGCGACCGCTTGTGACCGTTGGATTCAATCTCCAGCGAAGGAGCCGGGAGATCTGGCGGCGGTTGCGGAGAGTGCGGTTCGGTGGGGGGATCGAGGTCTGCGAAGTAATAATGATGATCTTCCTCCTCTTGATTTTGTTCGGGGAAGTGAGAATTTGACTCCAGAAGCTCGAGTTCTTCAGGAAGGGGAATATCCATGTCCATATCATCCATGTCCATTTCCGGCGTTCGATGGTGGTAGAAAGAATGTGAGTGAGAGAATGAGGTTTCAATATGTGTGAGGTGAAAGGGTTTGTGTGTAGGTTAACCGCGAATAGTTTTGGCGGGAATGTGAGTGAGAAAAAAAATACCAGTGCTGTGTTATGTATTTTATGTGTGCTAGAAAGCATGACAAGGCTAATAAACCGTTTATTAAGTAGAAAAAGGTAATCAAATCAAACTACTTGTTTGATTGATGGAAAATGAATAAAATTTATAAATTAGATTTGGAAAAATATATTTTGATTTATTAGTATTTTTTAAAATATTTTTTCTTCTCTACTTTTTTTTTAATATTTGACTTTAGACCTGCATAAAAGTTTGGAATAAATCCTAATTGTTACAAGATTTTATAAAAGTTATTCTTTTCTATTATTATTTTAAAGAAATTTCGTCTCCTTGTTATATTTTTAGTATTAAATTTGTCACATTTTTTATTCTAATTTATTAATTAATAAAATGTGAATATTATATTGTTAGGATCTAGCCAGACAAATTACCACTTTTTTTCATAAATAATACTATTTTTAAAAATATGTTTCAAAATAGTACATCCTGAACATTATTTACACAACTAACACTTTTTACTTGTTCATATATTAAAATAATAGATTATTTTATATTATGATCGATTATTTCGCGTAATCAACTCTCGCTCAAGCGAAGAAACCCCTCGCTTGAGCGAGGAAATCTGTAACAAAGGGGTAATCTCGGGTCAATTCTCGCTCAAGCGAAGAAATCCTTCGCTTGAGCAAGGAAATCTGTAACAAAGGGGTAATCTCCGGTCAATTCTCGCTCAAGCGACGGGTATTTTCGCTTGAGCGAGAAGTGATTAAAATATGTGGTGACCCAAGCGTTATGTGGCTAACTGCGTTGGACGTTTAGCCTGTGGTCAATTCTCGATCAAGCGATGAGTTACTTCGCTCGAGCGATTATTTAGATCGATTATTTAGATCACATGATGGCCATGCTCATTCCTTGACAGAAACTCGGCCAGAGCAAAACTACCTAGCCTTGGGGTCATGTCAGGTTCAAGAGTCAATGCTAAAGAGGTTATGTTCCTGTGAATGACTTGTTCATCTGATTCCTCGTGCAGATAGAGAAGTGCAGACGCAAGTGATTTCGCTATGTTATACCTATGATGCCATTTGAGGACAGAATGAACATTTTTAGTACTATTGTTATGATGGTGAAGTTGGTGACTGAGAAATCTTTTAGCTGAGTAATCATACACCACAAGCATCTCTCCTTGCTCAGTGCACCACCCTCTAAGCTGCACCAAATTCCTGTGCCGCAGTTTTGCCAGGTTTCTTAGCTCATTGGAAAATCTTTGTCGCAATGCTGGGCATGTCTTCAAGCCAAGGCGTTTCACCATGACATGGTAGTGCCCATCTAGGATGCCATGGTAAGCAGTTCCAAAGTCTAACTCAGCCACCCTTCTGGACTCTGAGAAGTTATCTGTGGCCAAAACTATCTCCTTGAATGGTATCTCCCTAGGTGTTTCAACCAATGAAAATGATGGCTGCTGATGCATCCTTTTTTTCCTACTCTTTGAAAAGTTAGTTCCACTGTCTCTGTGTTCCGCTTCAGCAGTTACATATATAGTATCTCCTGTGGCTGTGACATATTTGGAATTGAAACTAGTAAGATTGGTAGAACTTTCTGTTCTTGTGCCTAAGCCTGTGCCTTTTGAGCTGCTTGGACTAGTCTCGGGTGAGGAGGACAGAGATATGTACATAGGATGAGAGTGAAATGAAGGGAGCGTTGGCAAGTTGTTTGATATGTCAGAAAGTGCAGTTCCAAAGTCTAACTCAGCCACCCTTCTGGACTCTGAGAAGTTATCTGTGGCCAAAACTATCTCCTTGAATGGTATCTCCCTAGGTGTTTCAACCAATGAAAATGATGGCTGCTGATGCATCCTTTTTTTCCTACTCTTTGAAAAGTTAGTTCCACTGTCTCTGTGTTCCGCTTCAGCAGTTACATATATAGTATCTCCTGTGGCTGTGACATATTTGGAATTGAAACTAGTAAGATTGGTAGAACTTTCTGTTCTTGTGCCTAAGCCCGTGCCTTTTGAGCTGCTTGGACTAGTCTCGGATGAGGAGGACAGAGATATGTACATAGGATGAGAGTGAAATGAAGGGAGCGTTGGCAAGTTGTTTGATATGTCAGAAAGTGCTTCAACAATCCATTTCATACTTGGCCTCAATTGAGGGTCATGGAGTGTGCACAAGAGGCTTATGTGAATCAATTGCTCCATGTCAAAAACCTTATAGGAACCGTCTATCAGTCTTGTGTCCCTAGCATCAACAAACCTACCTTCATCACTAAGCCTTCTGACCCAATCAAGCAAGATGATTTTCTCATCAGGGTATGTGAGATCAATGGCCCTCCTGCCAGCCACCACCTCCAACACAACTATTCCAAAGCTGAAAACATCAGATTTTGAGGTAGCAATGCTCCTTCTTTGGAAGCTCTCAGGGGGCAAGTACCCAATCGTACCACCAATCCTTGTAGTCTCACTCAACCTGTAAATAGTTGCAGGTTTCCTCGCTCAAGCGATGGGTTTCTCGCTTGAGCGAGAATTGACCACAGGCTAAACGTCCAACGCAGTTAGCCACATAATGCAACTTGGGTCACCACATATTTCAATCACTTCTCACTCAAGCGAAAGTACCCGTCGCTTGAGCGAGAATTGACCCGAGATTTTAGATAGCGGTTCTAGAACTAACCGCTATTAAAAATATATTTTAGATAGCGATTAACGTGGAACCGCAATTATATGTTCACTTTTAAGAGCGATTAAAATATTAACCGCTTTTAAAAGTGACACATATATGATAGCGGTTTCATTTTAACCGTCCTTAAAAGTGACAAATATATGTTAACCGTTTTTAACCGCTATTATAGAACATGTGGAACCGCTATTACATGTGTTTTCTGTTGTAGTGGGTTTCTTCGCTTGAGCGAGAGAGAAATAATCGATCATAATTTTGTATATTCGATTATTTTAAAATTATGTTCGATTAGTTCAAATTATAATCAATTATAAATTTTTTCGCTCAAGCGATGAATGTCTCGCTTGAGCGAGAATTGACCACGGTCCAACGCAGTTACCCAATCAATTATCGCTCGAGCGAAGTAACTCATCGCTTGAGCGAGAATTGACCACAGGCTAAATGTCCAACTCAGTTAGCGAGAATTGACCGGAGATTATCCCTTTGTTACGGATTTCCTCGCTCAAGCGAGGGGTTTCTTCGCTTGAGCGAGAGTTGATTGCGCGAAATAATCGATCATAATATAAAATAATCGATTATTTTAATATGTGAACAGTAAATAGTGCTAGTTGTGTAAATAATGTTCCAGATGTGCTATTTTGGAAAATATTTTTAAAAATAGTATTATTAACGAAAAAAAGTAAGCAAACTACAACAATTATTTACTAGAAATTGAATTGATGACATTGGTTTTGATAAGGATTGAGCGCTTATCATTGCACAAAACTCTTTTTACTTTTAACAATCCATCCTTTGTGATTCAAGTGTACTTAGCCTTTATCATAAATAATTAATGTTACTTGCAACATATATTAACATAATTTATATCATATAATATTATGTTAATATAAATATATTATGATATATATAATCAAACTAACAAACAAGAGAATAACAATATCATATTATATATTATTTTTCAACGCGTTAATAAAATAGACAATATTAGTTCATTCAAATAAATAATAAATCAAACTAATACTAAAAATAATAAATAACAATGAGATAAAAATATATTAAAATGAAAAACCATTTAGTCTAGAAAGAATTATAAACTTATTTAAATAATAATAATACACTAACAAAAATATATTGTTTATATTTTATAAATAGCTTTATTTGTTAGGTTTAAAACTTTTTAAAATTTAAAGTTTAGCCTTTTAAATTAAATAAACTTTAAAATCAAATAGATTTTTATAGAAGTTTAGGTTAAATATACTTTAAAAATAAAAAGTCTAATTTGAGCTGGCCTGATTGGAATTCTTCATCTCGTGTCTCTTGACATTAAAGTTGTTTTTTTTTAGTAGTTTTAAATTAATATATATATATATATATATATATATATATATATATATATATATATATATATATATATATATATATATATATATATATATATCTCTTAAACCATTAGAAAATGTCTTGAACGACTTGCGTCATATTAATATAATTAATGTTAAAGTCCTATACTAAATATAAACATTTAAAATGACTTACAATTACAAAAATATAAAATTATGATTTAATAATTAAATTCACTATATATATATATATTTGAACATTGAATAGAATGATAATAACCCACTAAAATTTGTATTCTGACTAGAGAAAAATGAGGAGATGCGGGAGAATGTGATTAGAAATTTGTGCAAAAACACTATTATTAATAGCTTGCATAGCTGGTTTTTCGGGGGTTACCAACATTGGAGATATCCAAACTAAAACTCCTTCAATCCAAATCAACCATTTTCTTCTCTACTCCTATCATTTTGTTTTTCTCTCTTCTTCAATCTGTTCTCTGTGCTTTTGAGATATTCCCAATTTGTTCTCTACTTTTTTAATATGGGGCAACAATCTTTGATCTATAGCTTTGTGGCTCGAGGCACCGTGATTCTTGCCGAGTTCACTGAATTTTCTGGAAATTTCACCACCATTGCCTCTCAGTGCCTCCAAAAGCTTCCTTCTACCAACAACAGATTCACCTACAATTGTGATGGCCACACTTTCAATTATCTCGTTGAAAATGGATTCAGTACGTTATGCGTTTATATATTATGCATCATATTAATTTCATCATGATTGATTCATTTCTATACGTGGAATCTATTTGATCTATATCTTGATATCATGATAACATGAATTGTCTCTTCCCCAATCCCTTTCTCTAGATTTAGCTGATTAATTTTCTTACCATTTTTAAATCTGTTACAGAATAAAGTCGAAAACTTAGAGTGTATCTGATTTATATTCCGCAAATAGATTATAGTTTTCAAAATAAAATTAAATTGCATTGCTTTGAAAGCTAGTACAAGAAACAAAGTGCAGAATTGAAGAGGTAAACAGAAGAAAATATCAGACAACATCTCACGTTGTTTTTGTCTATTGGTTATTAAAACACTTGTTTTCGAAATAAATTTTGAACTTTATGTAGGTAATCCTCCAAGATCTTTCATATATATCATTTTGAATTGTTTGAATGCAAATGGTGTTCATATTATGGCGCCCCTTTTTTACAAAAGAAACAAGAATAGTTGGATCAGAATTTGATATTGTGTAGAAATGCATTATTGTGGATTTTGTAGCCTACTGTGTGGTGGCTGTTGAATCTGCCGGTAGACAGCTTCCTATTGCTTTTCTGGAGCGTGTGAAGGATGAGTTCAGCAAAAAATATGGTGCAGGAAAAGCTGCAACTGCTTCAGCTAAGAGCCTAAACAGAGAATTTGGGTACCCCATTTTCATTACTGGATTAATATGATGCAGACATACGATAAGTTTTTAAGGATACTAAAACCAAGTTCATTTTTTTTTCTGACATTCAATTGTGTATGGAACATTTAAAACATACTAAATGTATGGTTTATGAAATCTTCAGGCCAAAACTGAAACAGCAAATGCAATACTGTGTTGATCATCCTGAAGAGATCAACAAGCTTGCCAAAGTGAAGGCTCAAGTTTCTGAAGTGAAGGGTGTCATGATGGAAAACATTGAGAAGGCAAGATTTATTTAACATTGACATGGTTAATTTAGAGTTATTATTTAACTCAGTTTTCTGTCAACACTCAACAAATATATTATTAGTACTAATTTGGATTGAAATATTAATTTGGTTTTCTTCTAGGTTCTTGATCGTGGAGAAAAGATTGAGATGCTGGTGGATAAGACTGACAACCTTCGTTCACAGGTTTCATTTTCTTCTTTATTGTATCACTTGAATACATGTTTAATGTTCACAATATGATGTTTTTGTGTAGTTTTTATATGTTTTTGTAATATTTAACATTTTGACATTAGTTCTTGCTTATGTCATTACTTATATATTATTATTTATTTCTTCAATTTGGCATGTTATTTTATATAATTTTTAATTTAATTCTTACACATTTTTTTAATCATATTAATGATGACTAAATAATGTCAACATAAACACCAACATTAAATGGCATAAAGATTATTTTCTAAATCCAAAACCAAAACTTAAAAAAATAAACATTACAAAGAACTTTATATAATTTATAACTTTGTCTCCATAAATATATTTTATTTTAGTTTTTCATCTTTAATCACCCCAACAATTAATGATGACTATAAAATAGTAAAAATTAACAGAAAAATAAAATAGCGTCAAATGGTTTTCAAAAATAACTTTAGAATGGGTAAAGTCAACACTACAAGATCAAAAAAATATTTTTATATAATGTTTAATTTAGTTTCTATTAACATTTTTTATTTTTTTTCATTCTCTAGTCACCCCAACAATTAAATTAATGGTAAATAAACAATAGTAAAATTAACATAAAGTAATATTAAGAAATTGTTTATAAAAAACTATTTTCTTGTCAACTTTATTATATTCCAATTTAATTCATCTATGTAAACTTTATTTTGATTTTAATTATTCTGATATTTTTAATGTTAATCTCTAACTTTCTAAGAACCTAAATAAATAGGGTAGAAATTGACATAAGTATTTAATATTATAGAAAATATGAAATCACTAAAAAACCAATCAAAGAATAAAAATATATATTTAAAACCTTGTGTTACATGACTTGTTGCAGGCACAGGACTTCAGAACACAGGGCACGAAGGTTAAAAGGAAGATGTGGGTTCAAAATATGAAGATCAAATTAATTGTTTTCGGTATCGTCATAGCATTGATTTTGATCATGTTTATGTCTATATGTCGTGGCATCAGTTGCTTACATTAGTGCTTTATTTTCAGTTTATTCTTTTCCTTTTCTTTGATCAATTTTGCAAGATTTCATCTGCTACATTTGTGCCAATATTCTTAATCTTATTAACCAACCATTGTTTAGTTAATTATATGAGTCACTTTGAATGGGTTGTGTGGTTTATTAATTTGTCTAATACTTTTCTAAATATAATATGAATATGTCACAATGTTCAGAACTTCCCTAGGTTTTCACCCTATACCCTAAATGCACCACGTATGTAAATATTTGGAGAAATTTCTTCAGAATCTATTTATCGTAACCATGATATCTAATTCAGTTTTGGTAATAAATTCGTCACTTCAAAAGTATGTGATAAATCTACTTAAACAAATTAAGAATAAAAAAATGTTAAGTGTATTAGTTTAATAATATTAAACTCAGTACGAGCTTAGATTGTGATACCCTAAGGTTGCAAACAAGTTAAACCAACCTTGTTCAAAATATTATAATTTTTTTATTAAAATAAATTATAATTAAAAATATGATAAATTTTATGTTGTGTTATTTAAAAAATAAAATATACAATAATAATATAATTTTAATCAATAACACTTAAAAACTCATTATTTTCGTTCTTATAAAATTATAAAATTTCATTTTAATTATGTAATTCTTTCGTTTTTCATTCTCCAAAATTTAAAATCGTTACTTTTGATTTGTAGTATTCACTATACGATAAATAATTTAAATTTGTTTCAAAGTATTACATACAATTATTTATCAAATTATGGTACCAATTGAAATTACTTGACTTTTCATTTAATGCATAAATCATTAATGAATATCGTAACTAAAAAAATAATGTTTTTTAGTTTTAGATAATTAAAATCAAAGTTTTTTTTTAAATCAAAATTAACTTATATTACATAAAAACATATTTGAGTACGATTTAATTCAATGAACTGAATTAATTTAATTCAAGCTAACTAATAATTTTGAAAAAAAAAACAAATTAAATTAAAACAATCAGATTAAAATTTATCTGTTTAACATTTTATTTTTTGGGTAAATATGTTTAAAATTTACCTTACCTTGTTTTTGCTTCACGAAATGTTAACACGTCATTGACACCGTTGACGCTAACCTACATCAACAAAAAGAAAATGCGTGGCCATTTTCATCCCCTACCAGATTCAGTGGGAACAACACCGTCACATACGCCACGTGAGGTCTCAACAAAAACATGTATCACACCTCAATGCCTTTCATAAATTACCCTTTTCAGGTGAGAGAAAAAGAAAAAGAAAAACCTAGTGACTAATACAAATTTAATTTGATTATTTTATTTACTATTTTTTTTATAATTATTTGTTAGGTTAGTATTAATATATATCATTGTTCAATAATTATTTGAATTTTTCACACCATGTTGTTATTTGATTTATTGAGTCATTATATACATAACATATAATATAATAAATAGGGTTGATAATTTATTTTTTGAAGAAAGGTTTAATAATTTATTAATTGATATACTATGTTATTTAATAAATATAATATTTAGTATTTTTATCAATGTATTGAAACCTACTAAATACAATTTAAATTTTACTATAAGATTGTTATTATTATTATTTTTTAAATATGTGATGTTGTGAGAACCATAATAAACAGTGGTATTATTTATTTAAATCTCATATAAAATATTACATAAATTATAAAATAAATTAAACAAAAAATAAAATATAAAAATCACCTCAACTTAAAGTAAATTGGCTACTTGAATTACAATCAAATCGATAATAATAAATGAAATGACACTTTTTTTTAATTTCTAACACAACTTTTAATCTATGATAAATTTCGAAACGTTAAGTATGTATCATCACTCTCATTATTATTATTATATATTAAAAAAAAATGAAAGGCATCACTGTTTTCTTATCAACCTAATTTTTTTTTTCAAAACCTACCAAAAATAAATAACACACAAAAAAAAACTCCCATTACAAACAAATCACAAAAAATCTCACACCTGGGAATGTGAGTTACGTGGCTCATATTAAATATAAATAAAGAATAATTAAAAAAAAAAAAGGTTCTCTCTGCCTTGGCTCCTTCTGCGAGTACGGACACAGTTTTCTTTTTCACCGAGAGCTTTTCATTCATTCACAGTTCGCATCAAAACCACAACCACCACTGCCTCCACTTCCTCTCTCTAGAACCCAAGGGAAGAAGAGAGAGTCAGAAGTCAGCCATGGACGCAGCATCGCAGCTCGTCTACTGCGGAATCGATTCATTTCCTCGCTCCTCTCCTTCCCCGCGCCGCCGCCACCACAGCCTCCTCCATCTCCGCCGCCGCTCCGGTCGCGTATTTGCTGTCTCCACCGAGCCGAAACCGCCGCCGCCGAAGATCGTGAACGGAGCGAATTCGAGCAGAGCAGTCAACGGAGTCTCCACGGTAATCTCTTTGATCCTGAATCAGCCGACTTCGTGGCTCGGAATTAGTTCAAATTCAATTGGTTATTGATTAATGAACCGAAGCATTATCAGTCTCGCTTGTTGTTTTTTTCCTGTTGTTTGTGATGGTGACAGAGAATTGGAGATGTTTCGAAGGAGATTAAGAGAGTGAGGGCGCAAATGGAGGAAGACGAACAGTTAGCGACGCTCATGAGAGGTCTTCGAGGCCAGAATTTGAGGGACTCGCTCTTTGCTGAGGATGATGTTGAACTTCGTCTTGTTGAGGTGTTTGAATTGAAAATTTTTCCGAAGAAATATTGTGAATTTTTTATCACGATTTCTGTTAATTTCATGATATATACTCTTAGTTCATATGTGTTTTATTTAAGAGTTTAATTTCTGCGTCACCAAATTATGAAAAGAGAGTTTACATGCTTGTGGAATTGTGGTTAGATAAATGTAAGAAGTTGACTCTCTGTTTTTTTTTTTTTTTTTTTCTCATGCATGTAGAATGTTCATCAAAGTTTTTCTAATCTATAAAATATTACTTTTTCCTCTCTTTTCTCGTGCAAATCTTAGAAAATTTATTTTTAATATATTTTGCGTAATAAAAGGGCTATATTTTTGGTTCTTTACCGGAGAATAATAAAATCACGTAATTTTTACAATATTTAGAAATTATTATTTGTTTCGATAAAAACTAGAATGAAAGGAAAGTTGCTTAATAAATTAATTTTTTTTTTTTTTGCATGAAAGTGACAAAAAGCTGTAAGCCAGTTGTGTGTTGTGACTTCTGTCAACTCCCTCTTTCCCTTTATTATCATGTTTTCCAATAACTAGTAGAGTTGAATAGGTGTTGCCATACATTATTTTATTTTAGAATAAACTTGTTTGCACTTCATTTTGAACAACATTTTTCCGTAACATTCCCCCTGGGAAAAGTCATATTTTTCGGTAACAAAATTATCAATATTATTATTTTGAATGGTTGTTAATTTTCAATGGGAAAGTAACCAGATGTGGACTGTAACAGATATTGGTGTTTTGTAATGGTTTAGGTGGATGAGAGTAGTGAATTCTTGCCTTTGGTGTATGATCCTGCCAGCATTTCTGCATATTGGGGAAAACGTCCACGCGCCGTTGCAACTCGCATAGTACAGTTGTTATCTGTTGCAGGAGGATTTCTTTCGCGTATTGCCGTGGACGTGATTAACAAGAAGGTTAAGGAGGTAATTCTCCAATGTTGTGAGGGACTAAAGTAGTTTACCTTAAGTCTTAAGCTGATGTTTTCTGTTGCTGTAATTTTCTTCCCTTTGCTTGCTGCATTCTGATTCTTGTGTTTTCTTCTTTCCTCTGCTTCGGACAATAAGTTAAAACAATTCATAATATAGATTTTCAAAGTTGTTATCACCTGTGGAGTCTACAATTTGTAGCTTCTAAGAAAGCATTGAAACAGTTTATGTTCTTTAGTCAATATACAAGATACAGTAACAAGTAAAACATTGAAAGCCCTTTTTTTCCTACTAGGTGGAGTTTAATACATGGCTGAAACTCGAACATAAATCATGTTTAATGGCTTTGTATACTGTAAATATATAAAATCAACTATATTACAATATTTTTATAAATTATGTATGTAACGTGCATTTTTTTATATGTCCAAATAATGAATAAATAGGTAGTATTGAAGAACTTATGGCTTTAGCTTGTGTTATGTATAAAATAATATTTAAGCTGTTAACGGTTTCTTTATATTTTGTAGTTATTGTTCAAAATGCAACTTTGCAGATTACATTTTGGTTATTTATTTTTGTTCTTTTGCATAACCAGAATGAAGTTGCTCGGGCCATTGAGCTACGTGAAATTGTGACATCTTTAGGTCCAGCGTACATAAAACTTGGGCAAGCATTGAGCATTCGACCTGATATACTGTCACCTGTAGCAATGACGGAGCTGCAGAAGCTTTGTGATAAAGTAAGCTTGTAATTGTTTTACTCTTTTTCACATGTTATTGTTTCTATTTTAAAATAAATCTAGTAGTGTCATAGCTTGTGATTGGGATCATAGTTAGTCAGATAATTTTTTCTTTTAACTAGTTGATTCGTTAGACAATTTTGATTTATTTCTGCAGTAAATTTGAGCTGCTTAAAAACAAAATTCGTATTCTTCATTTCAGAGAAAAATGAAAATGTTAGACTGGTAGCATATTTGATTTTTATGTTCTAATTTCTGAAATAATTTACCATATTTCTTCAGTTGGTTTGTTTTATTAGGTAGAACCAAGATCGCTTTATAAAAATAACTGTCTGAGTACTGTGAAAATTATTAGTATTGACAAAATTTCATTTTGATTTCTGATATTACAACGTATTATTCATTTTGCTGAGATTGCTTTGTTTTTGTTGGGGGTGTGGGGATACCATAAAATTTGAAGGTTCCTTCATTTGCCGATGATGTGGCTATGGCTCTAATTGAGGAGGAACTCGGTCAGCCATGGCAAAACATCTATTCTGAACTATCATCTTCTCCAATTGCTGCTGGTAGCTCTCCAGACAACCAGTTAGATATATTAC